TATCTCTCAATGTTTATCACTTCCATCTCAGAGAATTCAGTCCGGATTCTATTCCTCATCTAATAATAAAGGATTTACACGTTTTTACAAACAGCCAATGTGTCGTCTGCTGCGAGGAACACACACTGCAGGTTTGTGTTGATGCACTGTGTGTGTGTGTGTGTGTGTGTGTGTGTGTGTGTGTGTGTCAGGATGTGTTGGATTAGAGCTCCGCACACCTGCAACAGGAGCGGTGGCCACGCTCCGCTCTTCCACAGAGGCCTGAGCCCTCCACCTGTCTGAATAATGACGGGACATTGTTGTGAATGGAGGCTTCTGTTCAGTTACATAACTAAATCCTGCTCATTACGTGGAGCCACATTAAAACTGAGAGAGGCTTAGAGCTAAACTTATTTGGTTTGGTAAGTAATGGAATGTGCTAATATTCCCGTGGGAACACCAGCGAAGGCTTAGGGGATTTTAACTACCAACCTTTGCGAATGTAGTCGGGGATTTTAACCTAATTACCTCCTTCGCTAAGCCCCTGGCTGTTCGCCTCCTGTAGAGAGAGGAGAGAGTATGTGCACGAGTAGTAATTAACACACAACGCCAAAATAAAATGTCTGACAAAGTTTTCTGACCTTTTAAAAAAAAAGGAAAAAGTTCAGTGGGGAGATGAGGTGATGAAGATGGAGACTGAGGATGACGAGCTGCTGTGTGTGTGTGTGTGTGTGTGTGTGTGTGTGTGTGTGTGTGTGTGTGTGTGTGTGTGCGCTCTCTCTAACCTCTCTGTGAATTTGTCAGTGGACTCTGAAGGGTAGGCGTGTGGCTGCTATGTGTGTTGTGGTGGGGGAGGAGAGAGAGCGAGGGAGGCAGAGAGTGAACATGTTTACCACTGACGGAGAGAGAGAGAGAGAGAGTCCCAGAGTTTAAGCAGTTCAGTTTTTCAACTCCCTCCGTACAGGTCTGAACTTTCTCAATCTAGAATATAGCTCATGTGGACCTGGGACATTTATTTTGACCCTTTTTCAAAAAGTGTCTCGTCTCTCTTGAACCACAACGAACACAGTTTTTCAGGAGAAGCAGCATCAGCACCAGCTTGGGACCAGGTTTGGACCCAAACCCTTGATCTGTCTCCAGCGAGGAGCTAAGAGCCTTTAGCCTTTCAGAGACTTCTTCGTTTGTCCGGGAGTGAATATCAGCAGGGGGGGGCGGACGCAGGAGTTTGGGTTCCCAAGTAGCGAGATGTGCTCTCTAAACCGGACCTTGTCTCTGTCTGTGTTCCCCAGGGAGACTGCTGCCGGCCTGGATGCCACGGTGGACTACGTGAAGGTAGGAACAACCAGATGTGATGCTGCAGAAACGTCACCACAGCAGCTGTAATTACTGCCAAGTGTTGAGGTTTGAAATCCTGAAAGTTAGAAACCCCGAGATGTTCTGCACGGTGTGTCTTAACACTGTGTGTTGAAAGACACCGTGTACCGATGGGACGTCGAGTTACACGAAGTTTTAAAACGATAACAGTATCTGTGGACGGGTCGTACAAAAACAAATGATGCACAAACACAAAGCAAAGCAAGAGAAGTAAGATCCCGTCTGTTCGCAATGCTTCTTATTTCAGAATAGATAAATCTTCGGTGTTCAGGTAAAACAAAGGTCAAATGTAAGAAAATTGACTTTATTGTAACTTAAGTGACAAACGCAGGATGTGAAACATCATTTACATCTGCAGTGTAAACCAATATCCGCCGAGCTGCGAGGATAATACAACTTTAAATCATACAAACTGTCGCCGTGTTGATGTTAACCTGCTGGAAATCATATTAACACACACACACACACACACACGATGGCTGAGAGGTCATTCTCTCGTCACTTTATCATCTCACCTGACATTTGATTTGTTTCTGTCCGTGTCTTTGCTTTCCTCTCTTATTTTTGGCTCCGTGACTTTCATCGCTCCAAAAGATAAGAACACAACGAGCTGAAACGATGAGCAGGAGCTTTAATCTGTGAATAACAACAAAGTGCAGAGAAATAAAAAGCCTGAGATTCTTAGTGTTGACAGATACGACCTGGTTTAAATGGTTTAAACTATTTTTGACCAATTGATGCTTTTGCATTTGATAAGTTTTGGTCTGTAATTCTTCATTTTGTCACATTTTCCCAAAGTTCCTCCATCGGTACAAAAGTTTCGTTCATTGAAAAGAATGTTCAATAATTGATCCGTGATTTTTTTCCAGACTAATCAATCTGTGTAAGCACAGACCGATCGTTTCAGCTGGAGTTACATCACTTCACATCAGCAGACAGCACATGTCCCAACTTCATCCACGAGTCTTCACCTCCTTTCTTCTCCCATCCATCCCTCTTTTCTCATCCATCCCTCTTTTCTCATCCATCCCTCTTTTCTTCCAACTATTAGCTCATATGATTGGATGCTGTCACCTTAGTGAGAAAAGCAAACTCAGTCCTTCCCACGAGAGCAGGCTGCACATGTGGGAGTGAACCTAACCACACACACACACACACACACACACACACACACACACACACACACACACACGCGCGCGCACTCTCACACACACACACACACGCGCGCACTCTCACACACACACACACACGCGCGCACTCTCACACACACACACAAACAGCACTTTTGTGTATTTCAAATTAGGGTTGTGAGCAAGTGTCAACAGTGTGTGTGTGTGTGTGTGTGTGTTGACCACATATGGAGCTTCTGTATCAGTGTATTGTAGAATATGTTTGAAAGTGTCACCTCTGGTCCTCCAGGTGTGTTTGCACTTATCCATGCACACACACATGCACACACACACATGCGGCAGCAGACAGTACACGTGCTCCGTGTAATATCCTGTGGTGAAAGGTCAAAAGCACATTAATGGTGTCTGGGCAATGAGCCTCGTATTGTTTAGTGCAGTCAGGCCTCTGGTTGTGTACAGTGTGTGGGGCGGAGGTTTGCAGGGGGAGGAAGTGTCTGTTGAGAACGATCGTACAAAGTCATCACTCTCTTCTCTCCGCTCGTGAACATTTCCAGAGCTGCGTGTTGGATGTCTGAATTCTGCTCCATTACAGGTTTTTAATTCCCTCACAGACAGGAAGTCGATTTATCTTTGAAGTGATGGATGCTGGGTTAAATTTGAATAGTTCTCCGAGAGAGAGAGAGAGAGTGAAGTAGCTGCAGGATCGTTTCAGTGATTCATCAGAGGAAAAAAAAAAAATCGTATCTGCAAAGACACAAATAGAAGACGGAGAATTTCCTCTGATGGATGATGGTTCACTGTTGTTCGCTCTTTCATTCGTCGTACAACAGGCTGTTACATCAGCACGTGAGCGAATCGACCAGTTTGTGTTGATTCAATGCAGAGAAATGAAATATCTCAACATTTAGCACAATTTAGTTTTCAATCAGGAAGTTATATCTGAATAAAGACAATACACACACACACACACACAAACACACACACACACACACTTAAAGGCTTAAAGGCTTAAAATGGGATTTTACCCAATTCCAGTTTTTATTAAAAATTGTAATCAGTGGTTTTGCTTAAATTGTGGATATTTAATCTTTTATCATTGTTATGAATTTAATTAAGTTTGGAGCTTAACACATCAATTTCAGTTGTGCTAATGAATTTGTTAATTGATTTGTGGTCTAATGTCGTGTGCTGTGTGTCGGTGATGCACTCTGCTACACTCTAGTGGTCAGATTTGTTCAAACCATCAGAGCCTATAGGACAGGAAGTGAATCAGTGAGTCCAACCATCCATCAGGACCTCTGTCCCAGTCCGTCAGCACGACTTCAACCAGGCAAACATCCCACCAGCTGGGCCCCCCCCCCCTCTACCAGCTATCAGCTCCACTGACCCTGACCGCCTGTCGCTCTATGAGCTGGACGGCCAATCAATGGACGAGGAAGCAGAGCAGGCAGCTGGGCAGCAGCCACACAACAGCGTGCTGCACTGACACGAATAATCTCCTGTCTCCTCGTCGGTAATCCTGTTGAGTTCAGTGGTAATTCCACTTCTGGACTGTCCCATTGTTTGAGGGACTTTATATTCACCGTGTAGTCAACACACACTTAGACGTCAAAAGTTTATTTAATTCTGAATTAGAACTTTAGAATCCTGACCTCAGTATGAACACGACTTTTTTATTTCTAAGAATCTCAGATCTGCCACTGACGAGAGATTTTTCTTTATTGGATTATTGGAGCTGTTGAAAGTGTAATTCTGGGTAATGATCAATATGAGAACTGGGTCAGACACTGTAGATTAGGATTAACAATTCAAAGCCCCGTCCCTCAAGTGTCTCCAGTTGTTTTCTGCCACGTCGACACGTTTTAAATTTAAACTTGAGGTTAGTATTTCTTTCCAGTTTCAATGATGTGATTTTTTTTAAAATACCGTGACTGAAGTTATTTATTTATGAACACGCTGCAGATGAGACGCTGAAAATTTGGGATTAGAAAATAATCCATCCTGGAGTTTTGACATTAATCTTGTTTAACAACAAACATTCAAACAGACGGGGGGGGGGTCGTCTCGGTGCAGGTGAATCTAACATCGATCACAAAGATGAAGGTGAAACGAAATGTCACATAAACGTCTGGAGCTTTATCAAAGGTCTTGGGGCCTTTTACAAATTTACTATATGAAACTATAAACAAAACCATTTGCTCACAAAAGTAACATTGATCAGGAAATTCACTCTTTCATTTTCAGTATCAATGACACACACGTCACCTAAAACAAGTTGTATTTGCCGTGTGTGGTCTGCGTACCGTCGCCTGCAGAACAACAGAGTGCAGTAGTTTGCTGGGTTTCTGTGGCTCAGGAGATCGACGCGGGTCGTCCACCAACACCAGCGGTTCGATCCCCAGCTCCCTAACCCTAAATAGCCTCTGATGGCTGTTCCATAAGCGTGTGAGTGATGAAACAGAAGAGGGCAGAGTACAGACAAGTGTGAATGTGTGTGAACGGGTGAATGGGACTTTGAGTCGTCGTTGAAATAAATTCAACAAATTCAAACATTTAACATTTGAGATCAGAAAACGTGGACACGCTCTCTGTTTGTCTTTTCATTGAGCCACATGAAATACATTGCACCCACTGACCCCCCCCCCCGGCCTCGTGTGATGTCACGTTGCAGCGATCGATACGATTCTCACCCCGATCACAGTCATTACTGATCACTGACCATCACGAACACTCACTGAGCGATAGTGACGCTCAGACTGAGGCATGATATCACAACATGTATTGACGACAAACTCCCAAACCTGTGTCAGGACACCAGATCATTTACTATGTTGAAAGTACTTACGTGTCCAGTGTGTATTCGAATCTACTGCATCGTTAAGTTATTATGTGTGTTTTTGTACAAAATAGCCTGGAAACACTTGCAGAGTATTTCAGGAAAAACTGTTTCTCACCTCTTCTCATTCTTCATTAAACATGATATGATAAGTGACGTCACAATGAGTTCTTCCTGGAATCTCCGCAGCAGATTTACAGTTTATATAGATCGAAAAAGAATCTACGATCGTATATAATGGGAATGATGTCGTCATGAGGTCACAATGAATTCAGGAGATGACATCACGTACTGCAGTAATGCATTAACCTTTGCAATCAATAACAGAAGAGACGTAATCTACAGCTCATTTCGATTTTCCAATCATTCATCATCAATTCCGTTTTTATGAAACATTTTAATACGACGTAAAAAAACTCGATTGGCGACAAATGATCTCATGGTCGTTTACGTTGAGGACGTGTTAGCAGCAGCAGATGCAGATGAAACTCTGTGCATATGTCAAATAAAACTGTCGATTCAATACAATAGACGTGACGGAAATGATAATCTCAAGTCTACAGCTGCTGAAAACGTTCCTCAGTCCCTCTGACAGAAACAACAAACAGATAGAAATAGAAAACATAGAACCACAGCAGGCTGATTTCTGTCCCCCGTTGTTTTTCCAGAGCATTCCTGGAGCGACGGATGTGTGTATTTTAAGGTGGACTTTTAGCCTAGCTTGTGATTTGGGGCCGCTGTGGTTGGCAGTTCTATGTGTGTGTGTGTGTGTGTGTGTTGCTGTGCGTAGCCCCAGGGAATGTTCTACATGGATTTCCTTCGTGGATCCTCAGAGAGTTCACGCTGTAATTAGTGGCTTCTTCCTCTGCGGTGAAACATCCCTTGAACTGGTCTCTGCTGGGGTGTCACCCTCAGTGTGTAATGTATCTGGGTGTTTGAGAGTGAACACGACTGCGTATAAATATTCACGGTTCCTTTGGTCCCGGCTGGAT